AGCAGCCTTAGCCACAGGCTGCAAAGGGACCTGGTGCTCAACAACAACTCTGGCCGAGAAAGCAACGGCAACATCCACAAATTACTCAGTTCCTTAAAGACTGATCCCCGACACAGCCTGGTTATCCCCAGAGGAGGTATCGAGGAGGATGGAACAGTCATTACACTTTAGTAGCAGAACTGTCCTTTCAGTCTTAAGTGCCAGTTGGGACAGTTGGCTCTTGCAACGTGTTACACGCAGGGCAGAGAGCCGATATTCTCATAGACCTCACAGGTGCAGAAAATTGTTGCTTTCTAGGAAACGTGGCATCTGGAGTTAGACATAAAACTGTCATGCACTGCAAAATTTGTCAGGAGAAAGCCAGAGCGTAAAACCTGGTTTGTGTCCCAGCCCTAAAGTGAGAACACGAGTTTGTTTTAGTGGGTATAAACCTAAGCAGTCTTACAGGCTGCCAGTGGCAGTGCTCCATACTGGGGTCTGGACGCATGGGTGGGTGTATTTATACACACATTTATATGAAATTAGATTTTAATAGTAACAGACATGTCTGTTTGAAGTGGAATCTGGTTTTCCTCTAATACCAGTTTAAAGAGAGTGCTTCTTAATAGCCATCCCATCTTCTACCATTACATACAGACCTCCCACTAACTTGTTTACACCATATTTACAACCTTATGTCTAATCCAGACAAGCTCTGTAAAGGTAGCGGTTTCCTACTCTGGTGGTTACAACGTTAGGGAGATGCTGCAAACACATTTATCCAAATGAAACTATATATATTATTTTTTTAAAAGCCTGCGGAGGGGACGTTGGAGGATGTTGCTGTTATAGCTGTGAGACCAGCACCACCCGCTGGTCAGGAGCAGGCCTGCCTGCAGCACAGGTGAAAAACATGAAAATAAGGGCTTAAAACTAGGTTCAGCGCCATTATGTGTAAATGTATTCTTTTTCGATATTTATTAGATAATACCTCTTTTTCAATTTTTTTTTCCCCCATCATCTCTGTTTTTTTCAATATCATGGTTCGTATGAATTTTAGGGACGCAGGCGAGAAGGCAACAGAAGTGGGAGAGAGTGCTAGGACTGCCCCCGTCACCTCGGAACTGACACAGGTCCTTCGGGGCAGCCTAAACCCACACGGCCTTTCCTTGCGGAAGACTGGCTGGTTGCTGCACGGAGGAGGGATGCTGGCTGACTGGCAAACCTAACTTAGAGTAGTTCTGTTATTTCTGGACTCTTCCAGTGATCATAAAGCTTAATGCCTGCACAGGATTTCTATATAGTGGAAGTTTGCGATGGCCGGACATCTTTACTGGATGCTGGCTGGTGGGTAACCAGTGACTGTTGAGTCGGTAGCTGTCTGCTTCTGAAAATGCCATGGATTTATGAAAGTGTTCTAATCTAAAATATTTTGATATATCTTGATCAGTGTAAGGAACAAAATATAAATGTTTTACAATGTATTTTTCTACTTTTAGCTTGTGTCATTTTCTTTTTGTTTTTAACTTTGTAGTACATTAAAGCTTTTTTATATGGTGGAATAGACATTTCTTAAATATTGTACGGATCTGAAAATTCAGAAGTCTTGGTTTGAAAAAATTGCATTCCATTTTGGAATCTGTAATGGCTGGACAAAGGCTGTGCAGACTAATTCATTGTCGCTAATTTAGAATACCTGTGGAACAACCAGTCTTCTGGTCATTGTTAAATATGTTTGGGACATTGAACTTAGTTTATTTCTTTTAGATTTGCTTTGAAAATTTATTTTAAAATTCTTTCACTTACTCTAAGTAAACCTCTTCTAGGTATCACAGCAGTTATAGAGCTGTACTTATTTTTCCCAGCACAGTAAGAATAGAACATTGATCCTGTTCGTCTTAAAACTGTGTTTGTACTTTACCAAAGGTTTTAATTTTTTTAAAAAATCTGATTATTGGTGCAGTAAAAAAAATAGCTGGATGAATGCGCTTCAGTCAATCAGACCATGTTACCAGGAAGATTTTGTTACACCTTAAATAAGACTACTTTTATGAATTAAGTGGATTTGTCTGGCTGAAGTTACTCATTTTACCTTATTTAACTGATGAAAATGTGACCTGTCTGCAATAAAACGTGCACTGTCTCACTTCTACGCTCTCTCCTTTCCCCTGCGCTGAAGCGCATCTTTCTGTGGAAGTGCCTCCCCTCCCCGGGGAAACAAGCTGCGTGCTTTTGGTGGCTCTTCCGCCACGGAACCCTTTCAGGAACGCTTCTCGCTGTGCCAGCGCGGACTTGGGACTCCTCGGGTGTTTGCTGCCTGCACCCGGTGTCTGTCCGCGGCCTTCCTTCCCGGCCCGGGCGCCGTCGCCGTGATGCCCGCGGGCACC